CTGAGGCTGCAAGCGCAGCCCACATGAGGACCACGCCGCTCACAGAACCTGCCGCCCGCGTCGCGCCCGCGCCACGGGCTGTGCCTCCATGGTGTGCTGCTCGCGCCGCACGGCGCTGCTGGTCCTAGCCGCACGTTGTCTCCACATCGCGGTGGCCCATGTTGGAAACAAGTCAAAACAAAAAAACAAAAAACTGTCGCTTGCTCTCTATCTCTCTCTCTTTCTCTCTCTGCTCGCATTCTGGCCTCGACGGCCGACAACCCTCGGACAAAGACCGAGGTCCAGGCTGCGACGGCGGCCAGCAGCCCAAGTCGAGCACGAGCGAGCGGGAGCGGAAGAAGCCAGGAGCGAGGCAGGAAGGGGACGCGGGGCCCCGATCTGTGAAACCACGACGTCCTCGTCTTCCTCCTCCTACTCCTCCTCCACCACCTCCTCCTCCTCCTCCTCGTCTTCCTCCTCCTCCTCCTCCTCCTCATCATCATCATCATCATCATCATCATCATCATCATCAGCAGCATCAGCATCATCATCATCATCATCATCATCATTATCATCATCATCATCATCACCATCATCATCAGCAGCAGCAGCATCATCATCATCATCATCATCCTCATCCTCATCCTCCTCCTCCTCCTCATCATCATCATCATCATCATCGTCATCAGCATCATCATCATCACCATCATCATCAGCAGCATCATCATCATCACCGAAACACCACCACCACCACCACCACCATCATCATCACCAACAGCATCAGCATCATCATCATCATCAGCAGCAGCATCATCATCGTCATCATCAGCAGCATCATCATCATCGTCGTTCTCCTCCTGATTGTCCATTCCTTCTCCGTATGACCAACTCCCCCCTGTCGCAACCCGAGGCGTGTCGGTAGAACGGGCCAGGCGTTTGGCATGAGACCCCCACACTACGTGTGATCCTTAAGCTGAAAGTTTGCCAGAGCTTCACGGATGGAGGGCGGGTGGTTTTCAAAATGTGGCTCTCGCCTTACCGACGCGCACAGTCGTCGTAAAAAAAGGGTTTTACGGATGTAGGGCGCGCCGTTTTCAAAATGTAGCTATCGCTTCAGCGCGGCGCACATTCGTCTTAGAAAATTGTAAGAACTTCACTGATGGAGGGCGGGTGGTTTTCAAAATGTGGCTCTCGCCTTAACGACGCGCAAAATCGTCCGAACAAAAAATGCAAGAGCTTCACGGATGTAGGGCGGCCCGTTTTTGTTTATGTAGCTCTCGCCCTAGCGCCGCGCACACTCGTTTTGAACAGAAAACCAAAAAGGGTTCACGGATGGAGGGCGGCTCCTTTTTCAAAATGTGGCCTTCGCCTTAGCGCCGCGGACATTCGTCTTCAGAGCGTACACCAGTTTCGGAGAGTCTTACGGTTAACGTCCCAACAGTAGTCTTGATGTCCCAGGAGTTACGTTGATTCGCGGTCTTAAAGTCCCAGGAATGGCGTTCTGGCACCAGTCAAGATCGTCAAGATGCAGCAATCATGGTGACCCGCGGCGTTGAAGTCCCAGGAATAATGTTTTAGCACAGCTCCGAATTCCCACACGGCGTCCTTCAAGGGGGTACTTACCTCAGTGATTTCCCCCCTGCCCCCCCCCCCCCCCACCCCCATGCCAAAAAAAACAGCTACGTGGAGTTAGCTCGCACGGGTGCCGTCCGCATCACGAGCCAAGTGGACAGCGATCGCGAAGCAGACATGCAACCCCAATCGAAAGGAGTGGAGGCCGATGCTGCACTATGCAGCGCTGCACCGCCCATGCCGAAGCAGCGGCCCGAGAGCACTGTCGCAGCGCACACCATGCAACAACGTCGAATGCCCGCGAAATTAGGCCAACATCAGACTCAAGAGGGAGGAGGGAGGAGAGCAAGGGAAGAGAAGCAGAAGGAGAGAAAAAAACGCAGACGCTAGGCCACGGCCGATGTGTCGAAGCGTTGCGAGTGCTTCACCATATGATCTGGCCGATCATTCGTACAAACGGGCATCACACAACCGCACACAAGGAACCACAGCACAGTACGCAGCAACAGGTAGGAACATATCCGCGAATTCCTGGCGCGCCACAGCGGGGAACCAGCAAAAGGAGGGGAGAGAACAGAAGAAGAGAACAATGAGAATCACAAGTCGCCGCGCCGTTTGTTCTGCACGCGCCCATGTCGACGAAGCCAGCACCGCGGCAAACCCCACGGCAAACCTTGCGTCCGAGGCGAAGTTTGCCATGGTGGCCGAGGCGCCCTCCCCAAGACGTAAGGCCGCGCGTCGGAACACACGGCGCGGCGACACATTTTGGGCGCACGCACTCGCCAATAATTCATGGTCAAGCTGGAGGCGGGCACAGCGGCGCCCAGCAAACGCGAGGCTGCTCCTCAGCGGCTAAAAGGACAAGCCTGGACAGCTAAAGCAGCCCAGGGTCGGCCAGAAGCGGCTGCAAGCACCACCGCGCAAAGCCCGCACAATAGTAGCAGCGAGGCCACAAGTTCGGGGAGGGAGGAGGGAGCGAGGACGAGGGGGGGATCAATGCAAACCACTACGAAAAGCTTCGCTCAATAAATCGCCTGCTCGGCACCCAGCGCCATGAGATCGATACGTCGCGGAGCCGGTGAGGAGGCCAGCAAGCGGCTCAGAAACTTCAATGACCAGTGCCGCGGAGGCGACGCCAAGGAGAGAGGAGGAGGAGGACGAGGAGGAGGAGGACGACAAGAACGGCTGCCCCGACCGAACCCATAGGAACGGAAGAGGGCCGAATTGAAGAGGCCTCAGGGGACCCCGAGGCCCCAGAGAGAGATCAACCCATAGGTCGATCACGGTCAGCCAGCAGGCCGACCGACGCACACACGGTGCCGTCAAGACCACACCAAGGCCCAACCAACGTCGGGGGGCGGTAGGCGTCAGCCAGGGACCGTAACCCGCGGGTGGGGGGCCCCTGGGAAGGAGAAAAGCAGCTGCAAGCTCACAGCGGCACGATTAGTCAGAACTCGATTCGAATCCTCCCCCGCCACCCCCGTCCGACCCAGTCCCACCGCCTCCACGAAGCAGATCCTCCTGGCAACTGGGCTGGGCCGCACTGTCCGCCGCTACGTCGGCGCTGACAGGAGCCTCGGGTGGCAGGGGTTTCCCACTGCGGGGGTCCTTCCCCGCGTTCACTCTGCGCACGTGCTGCCTCGTGTTCGCGAGCGTAGACTTGTTTGACGGGGGCCCAGGGCAATCTGCCTTGAGCAGCCACGCCGTCTTATAAACCTGCACACTGTAGTGACCGCAAATCTCACATATGGCAGCATTCCCCCAACGGGCCAACCGATGGCCAGAGCCCAAAACAGGCGGGCCCGTACACGGGGCCGAAAACAATTTCAGGTACGACTCACGGGTCCGAGCTTCCTTGCTGCAGTGCCTGCAGCGCACGGTCCCAGGTCCCAAATCGTAAAACTCATGCTGCGTCACTAAGACAGGTGCGATCACAGGGCCAAGTTGCTTCATCGGTGCCTGCGCCATCTCGCCCACAAGCGCGTAGAAGCGGACAACGCGGGAGGCCATGAACCCCAGGCAGCGTGCCGTCGACGACGCACACTTGAGCAGGCCCTTGTGGTTCTCCGCCAGCGTGTCAGCCACTTGGATCTCGCTGGCGCCACAATATGCGAAAAAATCGGCCCATGCATTGCCCATCACGTGGGCCGCAGAAACACCACCTTCCACAGCCTCAACAGCACTCTTGTGAGCAGGAACCCATATGAAACGCGCGTAGGTTCCTCATCTTCTTGACATACAGCAAAAATACTTCTCCAAATCGCAGCATGCTTGCCTGCAGAACTCGACAATGCAGAATCCCATCCAGTGGTTTCGTCCACAAAACTCTTGTGATCAGAAATAACATGCCCTGGGTGCTGCATAAACTCCAGTGCTTTCAAGCCAGCATATCTCTCACCCTGCGGCACGCTCTGGTCGATTCCAAGTAATCCTCCGTACCGCGCTCAGATGGGCCAACCCGTCGTGGGGCACAGCTGGACCACGAGGAGGAGGAGGAGAAGGAAGGGAGGAGGACGAGGAGGAGGAGCATGGAACGGGTGGGGCGCAACATGCGGGCCGCGAGCCGAACTGCCAGCTGTTCCGTCACGGGCCAAATTACACAATGTCGACTCCAGGAGCGCCGGTGCAAGCTAAAGTGTCCGCTGTCCTCGCCTTACTCGCCAACTCAGGCCTGGAGCCCCGGCCACGCTCCCAGGACAAAGGCGAGCGGCTGCCGCGGAGGTGCAACTGCGCGTAACACCCCGCACTGCGCTACACAACACGCGTGCCAGGAGGCGTGGGGCAGGCAGAGTGGTTGCCAAGTCGAGGAGCGGTGAAATGGTTAAATGGCGCGCTGGCCAATCCGTCCAGGGACGGCGCGATGTATTTTTCCGAGCTGCGCATGCCACCGAAAACGTGCCACATCGCGAGACTGGGGCAGAGCGGCAAAATAGACAGTAACAAGCTGAGCACCACCAATCCAGAAGGAGGCCCTGCTCAGGGGCGGTACAATTTATCACCACCAGTCCAAAACCAGTCTTTGCTCAGGGCCTAAGGCTCAGGGGCAGTCAGCCACATCAACACCATTCCAGAACGACGCCCTGCACAGGGACAGTACCAGAACAGCCAAAATAACGATCAACTTCCCCCAGTGATAACGAATCCTTGGTAGGGGACCCATGACAAGGGAACATGGAGGGAGGGCTTATTGCGATATCGTTGATGAATCTTGTGTTTACACTAGTCCTCCTCCTCCTCCTCCGCCTCCTCCTCCTCCGCCTCCTGCTCCTCCTCATCCTCCTCCTCCCCCTCCTCCTCCTTCTCCTCCTCCCTCCCTCCCTCCCTCCCTCCCTCCTCCCCTCCCTCCGTCCAACCCTCCTCCTCCCTCCCCTCCCTCCCTCCCTCCTCCACCCACCCTCCCCGCCCTTCCTCACTCGCACTCCTGCTGCTTCCCCAAGCCTCCCTCGGGCCTGCGGATGGCCGTGCGGTGCTCCTCCGGTGTGGAGCCTGCCGCCTTGCGCCAGCTCTTCAGGGTGCTCTCGTAGCAGGTCTCGTCCAAGCTCAGGGCCTCGGCCCGGCAGTGCCCAATGACAAAACTCCGACCACGGAAGGAACTACACAAGCCATGCCGGGCCCCACGTCCACCCCCACTTCCCCTCCAGGAAGGTGGAGTGAGAAAAGGACGGGAGGGAAATAGGAGGGACAGCAGGGGAGAACAACTGCTTCCCCATCGGCCCCGCACTCGCCACCATCCCTCTCTCGTACCACTCCCGCATGCCGAGTGCACGTATCATGCGCGGCGCTCAGGCGTAAGGACACACACACACACACTCCAGAGCACCTGCGCTGGTCGGAGGAGGCCACCAATTTTCCTACATCACCTGCTGCCGTACAAGAGGAGGAGAAAGAGGAGGAGGAGGAGGAGGAGGAGGAAGAAAAAGAGGAGGAGGCCGGAGGAGGCAGGAGGAGGAGGCGGAGGAGGGGGCTCGCTCCGGTCCGTCCGTGCACGACCCACGGGACATCTCCGAGCCTCTTTCCGTCGAGGCTCCACGGCCAGACTGTAGCTCCTGGCCTCGCACGAACCCGATCGAGCCCCACCCGACTCCTGGAAACGACCGCAGTGCCTCACGCGGCCTCGCTCGCACCATTGTGGGGAGGCCGGCCCCACCAGGACTTGGAGCGCCCTGGGAGCGCTCTGGAAGCGCTCTGGGAGCGCTCTGGGGGCCCCCTGTCTGAATGCTATGCAGAAGGACGTCTCCTAACCTCTCCTGATCCTGATCCTGATCCTGATATTCCTCCGACTCGTCCTCCGCTTCCTCCTCCTCCTCCTCCTCCTCCTCCTCCTCCTCCTCCTCCTCCTTCTCATCCTCCTCCGCCTCCTCCTCCTCCTACCTCGAAATCTTCTGGCATTCGCGGGCCGGTGTGGTTTGGCACCCAGGGGGCCGCCGCCACCTGCCCTGCCCGGGCCTGGTTGTCCCCTTGGTGCCGAGGACTGCCCCTCCCCCGCCCCCGAGAGAGTGGGGGGGAGAGAGGGGCGGAAGGGAGGGAGAGGGAGAGACGAGAGAGACACAGAAAGAGGGGGAGGGAAAGAGAGAGACGAGAGAGACACAAAGAGAGAGACAGGGAGGGGAGGGGGGAGGGGCGGAGGGAGGAATTGGAGGAGGAGGGGGAGGAGGAGGAGAGGAGAGAGGAGGAGGAGGAGGAGGAGGAGGAGGAGGAGGGGAGGAGGAGGAGGACGAGGAGGAGGCGGCGGCGGAGGAGGAAGAAGGAGAGAAAGAGGGAGGGAGGAAGGAGGGAGGGAGGAAGGGAGGGAGGGAGATGCGAGGGAGGGAGGGAGGGAGGGAGAGAGGGAGGACGAGGAGGAGGAGGACGACGACGACGACGAGGAGTTCAAGTTCCTCCTGTTCCAGCCGTCGCCGGGCCTGCGCCTTCTGCTCCTGGTTGCCCCGCACCTCCCGCAGCCGCCCTTCGAGCCCCCGGAGCGCGGACTTCGCCTCGGCCGCGGGGGGGCAGAAGGCGCGGGCGGCGGAGGAGGGAGCAAGGGCCGAGGGCGGGGGGCGAGGGGCGAGGGAGGAGGGGGGGAGGGACGAGAGAGGAAAGAAGCAGGGAGGACTAGGCGGGGGAGGGGGGGGCGGGAAGGGGAGCGAAAGGGGCGCGCGCCTACCCCTCTCCCCCTCTTCCTTGCCCAGCCTCGTCCTATTCCTCCACCTCCTCCGCCCTCCTCCTCCTCCTCCTCTCCTCCTCCTCCTCCTCTCGCCTCCTCCTTTCCTCCTCCTCCTCCTCCTCCTCCTCCTCTTCCTCCTCCTCCTCCTCCTCCTCCTCCTCCTCCTCTTATAACTCATCAGATTATTGCCGTTCGTATGATCATTACAATAATGAGCGTTAGTAGTATGATTACTCGTATCAGTGATATTAGTACTATTCTTAATACCAGTGTTCATAGTATTATTGTTCGTTTGTTTGGTAGTGTTTTCGCATTATTATTAGTAGCATTATGAGTCATACTAGTATGTTGTATGAGTAGTACGAGTACGAGTCGCAAACATATTAATAGTGTTGTTACGTATGCATACTACTACTGTGAATGCTCCCATTCGTATCCGCACTGTTTTAAACACTAGTATCAATTATACTATGAGCATTATTAATTGTAGTGTTATCCTTCGTCGTCTTCGTCATCGGATGATGAGTATTAGTATGTTTATGCTTACCAGTGGTATTATTCTTGTTCGTATTAGTAGTATTAGTATTATTGTTCCTGGTGTTATTACTAATCCGCCGATGTTTCCCCCTCGCTCGGCGCGGGGGCGATCCCTTTTCCACGCCAAAACCTCAGAGCCTAAACGTCGGCAGAACAGATGCTACACTTGAACACAGCACCATGCGCATGAGAGAAGGAGGACACTGGATATCCTCACTGAAAATCTACCCCCTCGCAGGGGACTCCCCCCTCGAGAACTGTGCGCCTGAAAACCCGCTCAACGCGAGCGGAACAGCCGTCAGGCTCAAGGCTCAAATATTCACCAACCTCTCACTGCAACTTCTTGGAAAACCCCTTGCACATGCGCCGCTTCAAGCGACGCCCAACGTTATGCACACCCTGAAGATACTTGCAGTTCTTCTCCAGGTGCACTACTCGATCATCATCATCCAGATGGTACATGAAGTGTCCACACTGTATACTCCGCACGCTCACCTCACCCCCGCACTCGTTCGCCCCCAGCAGGAGGGGGGCCCCCCACGTCCTTTCGAGCACCAGCACCCTGCCACACAGCCCATCACGAACATGACAAGCCAGGAGAATAGTATCATCATGGGCAAGATCATCATGCCGTACTCCATCTTCTCGGCGTCGCCTCCAGCTGCTTCACACTGCTGCGCCTGAATAGCAAGACAGAGCGCCAAGATTGCCGCATTGAGGGTCGGGCTGTTCGAAATCCCCCACCAAGCTGCGCGCCGCAGGCAGCCCGCCCAAGCCTCTCAATCACCGCGTTCACCTCGACCTCACGAACTGACCCGAAGTCGCCGCTCAAGCGACGTAGTCCCACCTGCTTGCAGAGCTGCTCGAGCACGTCGGCCGCGCGTGACTTCGTTCAGATATTTGCTGGATTCTCGCCCCCTCTGCACTTCAGGACCTTCAACCCCAGCGGGCGCGTCGCCTGTTGCACCCAGAGAGCTCCCGCGTCTAGATGGCGGACCTCCCCGACGCCCTCAAGGAGATTGACCGAAACGCGGAAGAGTCGGTCTCCAAGGTCCACTCGACACGAAACTCGAATCAAGCAAAGCAGCCCCTCATCATCTTGCCGCCCACTGCCACTGCACCCGGCGCGTAGAACTCGCTCTCACCCGAGCTCACAGCTATCAGGCCCCGCCTCCGAACCAGCGTCGCCAACGCAACCCCGTCCGCGCACGGAACTCCACAGGTGGTGCTCCTGCGCATTGCCTCCTGTCCGCCATGGGCACTGTCCGAGAAGGTCCTCAGATGGATCACGCCCTTCTTGTAAATCTTCGCGTCGACCTTCGGGGGGAACGCGCGCAGCTCGCTGGTACCGACCAAATAGCGCCCAAGCCGCATCACCCTCTCCCAGGAATGCTCAGTCGGTTTCGCCACGCCAGCTGCCAACATTCCCACAGCCCACTGGATGTCCGCGCGGTCCTGGGCTGAAATAGAGCCCACCCCCCACGCACGAACGACACTTCGAGATCTGCTTGTCGACCAAGGGCGGGGAATGCTCGAAGATCTCTTCTGGCCCCAAGTCTGGAGTCTTGACCGCGCTCGCACCCTTCAGTCCCAACTCGGAGATGCTGTTCACGATGTGATTCTCGTGCGGCTGAAGGAAGATGCCCTCGTCGGTCCTGGTCCTGGAGCGCTTCAGGTGCTCGAACCGGCCCTCGATGACAACGTCGTTGTCCTTCAGCTTCAGCTTCGTCCTGATCATCGGCAGGAAGCTCTCCACCTCGCTCTTGCGGGCCGCGCAGTAGAAGCCGTCCATGTGCAGCACTAGGCCGAGCCTGGTCATCGGCTTGCTGTAGAACTGCGGGCAGGCGCCATTCCGCTCAGCCCACAATCCAGGATGTGGTTGACCCTGGCGCAAACAAGTCGTCGCGCTCCTCGAGCCCAGCGAACTACCTTCCCACGAGCCTGTACTTAAGGACCCCCGCACGATCCCTCTCCCCCCACTTAGTGTCGACCTTCTTCTTGCCTTCGGAAGCGGCCCGAAGATGGACCGAGTAGATGTCGAACGCGTCGGAAAGCTTCAGACCCTCAGTGATGGCACGTGCCGCCTCCTCAACGGGGAGACCACTGTTGTCCCAGCACGTAAGCTCCTTCGCCGTCAAGAGCGCCTTGTAGTCGAGCTGCTCGCTGATGTCCTCGACGGCCCCGACGATCGGATGCTCGAAGCGCATCCTCTTCGCCCCATGCCACCCGAGGATGGCGTCGCCGTTCGGAGACCTTGGCCTCGCAGCCGAGCCCATTGCCGAACTCGCCGCAGCTGGCATCGCAGCGTCTTGGCAACCGCTGCCGCTGGCCCCCATCGGGGCCACTGGGCCCGCTGCTCGAGCTTGCACCAGCCCCCACGAAGCCTGCAATCCCCCCCACGGCCCTCGAAAAAGTCTCGGGAGCTCGAATTTCTGGGGCCTCAGGTTGAGGCCCTGGGGCCTTGGCCTCTGAAGCCTTGGCCGCGGGCGGCCGCGGGGGCCCCGCCTCCGAGCCTGGGCCCGAGGGGGCCTCGCCTCCAGACGGGGCCGCCTCCGGGGCTGCCCCCTCGGCCTCCGCGCCCATGGCCTCCAGCGGCGTCGGCGCGACCTCGCCCCTGCCGCCGCCCACGACGAGGGAGCGGGGCACGTGGGCGACCCTCTCCTTCCAGGGCTCACCGCAGACCTTCAGGAGCAGCTCCTTGTCGTGGCGCTTACCCTTCGGCGGCCCGCGGACGGCCCTGCGGGCCACCTTCCCAGCAACCGTGAGGATGATGCGCTCGTCGTTGCCGGTCGTCTTGCCGACGCAGACCCCCTTCGCCCAAGCCGCGTCAGCCTTGGTAAGCCTGGGGGCGCGGCCTCCCATCGACCGCCGCTGGCCCGTCTTGGAGACTGGAACCCTCGCCATCACTGCCTCGCCGAATGGCACCACCACTCCAGTGTAGTTCACGCCGTAGACTGCATAGTGAGCCGCGTAGCCGCCTGCACCCCTGCTGAACCAGTTCGTCAAATTCGCACCGCGGCGCGCGAGGAACGGCCAAAGGGGGGAACGCGGCGCGAGCTTGATCCCACAGTTCATCTCGATCTGGACCCTGTTCGCCTTCAAACGGCCACGGCACCACCAAATACGCGCCTCGATGAAGCCCATCGACTTTGCCGTCACTCGCGCGGCCTTGCGAGACCCTAGTCTCGAGGTTCTCCTCACTCCCAGCGTTGACAACCTTGTCTTGGGGCGCCGTCACCGCGGGCTCAAGCGTCGCACCTTAGCTCGGGCCTCTGATAGGCCAACTGCTTCATGAACCTCATGAGGCGCTTGGTCGCGCGATCATCTGCAGCCTTGCTCCCTAGTGCGTTGCCGCAGAGACGCCCCGTGCTGCGGTCAGCGACCACGAGCGACGCACCAGGCCCAATCGAAGAAGATCAGCTCGCCCCTGACGCCCCCGCCGTAGACGGGCCGCTTGACGCGCGGGCCCTCGGGCCCCAGGCCGAAGACGCACGCGGGCCACCACTTCTTGAACACTGCGTGACCAGAAGCCTCGTGCTGATCCTTCTCGATCTCCGTCGGAACGCAGGGTGTCTCGACGACCCTTGCCTCTGTCACAGGCTGGCCGTCAACCTGCTGCTGGCACCGCCCCTCGACGGCCTTCTCGTCGACGCCGAGGCCCCGCTCGTGCTTGAGCTCGGCGTGGGCCAGGCGACTCCACAGCTGGCCCTTGGTGCCGTAGGTTGCAGCGCCCAGCTCCATCAGGCGAGCCCGTAGCAGGTCGACTCGAGACCCAGGTCCCAGCTCTGCTCCTGCTGGGCCCCTCACTGGCGGTGGCCCCATCCGCCGGCTCAGCCGCCACCGCTGGAGCCACCCTGGGAACCGCGCCGCCAGGCCCCGGCGAAGTCGACCCATGGGCGCAGACGCCGCAGCTCCGCCCGCCTGAACGGCCCCCTCGCCCTTCATCACCACGTCCTCGTAGGCTGCGACGACGCTTGGGTAGCGACCTCCTGCCAGCCGCCCCCCGCCCCTGATCACGCGCTTGGCGGCCTGGATGTCCTGGCGCGCGTTCGCTGGCACACCGAACGCGTTCCTCTTCCGAATCATCGGGACCTTGACGCACGCGCCGCTGGGCCTGCGGAGCCCGACGTAGCAGCCGTCGCTGCGGGCGTAGATCACGTCGAAGCCTGCATCGTAGACCTTGCCAGTGCTGAAGAGATTGCGAGCGAAGGGGCCGATCTTGAAGTTGGCGTTGCAGACCACCTGACCTCCCATCGCGAATGTCACCTGAAACCCCCCCATCGAGCGGGGCCCGCTGCTTCTGGGCGGCGATCAGCCTAGACAAAGTCACCTCCACCACGCTGTGCCTGGCAGAGGTCCGCCTCGCACAGTGCTCGTCACTCCCGCCGTCCAGCATCAAGAACCTCGATGTCGTAGTCCAAAGGCTGCACACGAGTGCCAACCGCCATGACTAATGCATCATCGCTGCAGTGGCACCTGAACTCGTCCTCCAGCGGGTCTCCGATCGAGTCCTGGTCACTGATCTCAACCTGGTCATTGGTCGAATCGTGGCCCCTGATCTCCGCCTGGTGCCCGGTCGAGTCGCGGTCCCCGATCTCCACCTGGTCGCTGGTCGAGTCGCAGTCCTCGTAGCTCTCCAGCGCCGAGCGACGACCATCGCGTTGACCTCGCCGTCGTGCTCCTCAACAAGATTGACGGCGCCTTTCTCCCCCCCCTCTACATCTTTCTTGAGCTTGAAGCAATATGGCTCTGATGTGGCCCTCCCTCTTCCAGTAAATGGCAGGTCTTGCCGCGATCGCACTGGCCTCCGCCATGGCCACCGCCATGACCGCCCTTGCTTCCGCGATATGTTCCTTTGCCGTCGCCATTCGAGTCCTTGCCCTTGCCCTGCTGGCTGGACCAGCACTCATCCGCCCTGTGGCCGAGCTCCTCGCAGATGCTGCGGCGGGGCTTGTCGGAGCCGATCACATCAATCTGGGCAATCGCACCCACCTGCATGGGCGCCACGCCCGAGCCCCCCACTGAGTCAGGCGGCTTCGGGGCGAAAGCCTTCACGTTCTCCTCCGCGCAGTGCTCTCGGATCCTGGTTCTCATCACCGCGCAGTTCCCCCTGACCTCCTGGCTCGCACCCTCGAGGGCCCTCCTAGCCGCGAGGGGGGCACAGCCAAGGATGGTCGCGCACTTCAGCCTGTCCGGGATCGCGCCACGGCTCGACAGCTCATACTGCGCGACCACACGACCCCAATCGTGCAACACCCCTGCGAAACTCCGCCTCGAGTGATCGCCACTCGCCCACCACCTCGGCTGCGCGATCGCCGCGAGCAAGCCATGCTCCGACGCGCCGCCCTGCGGGCGGTAGTCCGCGTAGATCTGTCTCGGTGCCTCGAACCCAGTGCCAGTACCAGCTAGCTTCGTCATCGTCTGAGCCTTGCCCCTCATCTTCATCGCGAGCAACGTGCCCAGGTTCCGAGACAACTCCAGAATCTCCGCGTTCGTGATGTCTTCGACCTTGATGGGACTAGTATGGGCCACTGCTGCATCAAACCGGCTCCCCCACCCCATCTCAGTGACCTCTGCCTCCAAAGTGAAGAAAGAACTCGAACTCATCCTGCATACCATTAAACGCACCATGCGACCTGATATCCTTCAGCGCCCACATCTGGCACCGCCCGCCAGATGTCGTTAGCGCCATGCGTCTGAACCACGCCCGCTGCCACAGCGAGCGCCCGCCGCCGATCACAGCCTCAGTGAAACTCAGGGCTCCGCCACCATGTTTTCTCCTCGGCGCGGGGGCGATCCCCCTCCCACGCCAACTTCTGAGAGCCTAAACGTCGGCACAACAGATGCTACACTTGAACATACACCATGCGCATGAGAGAAAGAGGACACTGGATATCCTCACGGAATGTCTACAGCCGACCCCTTGGGGTCACGGCGTGTGAGATGCTTCCCCCTCCCCAAACCCCTCCCCTGGGGGCCCCGCCCGGCCGGTTTGGAGGAAGGGGGGGGGAGTGCAAGGGTGTCGGCCGCACACCTGGAGCCTCAGGAGGCCCGAAAACGGCCCAAAAAGGTTCAAAGGGGTCCCGGAACGGTCCCAGAAAGCTGCGAGTCGACGAAAAATCGCTCCAAAACGCCGAAGATTGCCTCCAGACGGCCCCATCAGTCCCCAAGACTCTTGAAGAAGTGCTACGAGGCGCCCGGCGAAGGCCCTCCAAAGTAAAACCCGCCCCATGAAAACATACATCTTCAGCAGATTCGCTTTTTGGGCTTCCACGCGGCCCACAATGGCCCAAAAAGCCTAAGATCGACGTTCCGCAACCCAAAAGGCCCCCAAAAAGGCCCCACGACGGCTTCCAGGCGATCCACGAAGGCTCCAGAAACCATAGCAACGGCCTGGGAGAGCCGCGGGACGGTCCCAAGAGGGCTCCAAAACGGCGCAACAGGGTCCCCAAAGTCCTCCCCAACGGCCCACGCGGAGAACGACTCGGTCCAAACCGCCCAAGATTGCCTCCAAACGGCCCCAGAGGCCCCCAAGACGTTTGAAAACGCGTTTACGAAGCGCCCCAAGAGGGTCTCCAGAAGCAAAAACCGTCCAATTCCCTGCGGAAAACATAAATTGTCAGTACCTTCGCCTCTTGGGCTTCCACGAAGCCTACAACGGCCCAGTAGACCTCCAAGTTCAACCCCCGACACCCCAAGAGGCTGTCAAAAAGGCTCCACGACGGCTTCTGGGCGCACCACGGGGGCCTCAGAAACCACAGCAACGGCCCAGGACAGTCGCAGGACGACCCCACGAGAGCCCCACAACAGGCCAAGAGGGTCCCCAAAGGCCTTCTGGACGGCCCACGAGGGGGACGATTCGGTCCGAACAGCCCCAGCTTGCCTGCAGACGATTCCCCACAGGCACCCGAGACGTTTGAAAAAGCTACTACGAGGCGTTCCACGAAGGCCTCCAGAAGCAAAAGTCGCCCCATTCCCTAAGGAAACATACATGTTCAGCAGAATCGCCTGTTGGGCTTCCACGAGGGCCCAAGAAGCATCCAACATCGACCCCGTACAAACTCAGAGGCTTTCAAGAAGGTTCCAAGACGGCCTCCGGGCGCCCCACGAAGGCCCTAGAAACCATAGCAACGGCCCTGGAGAGCCGCAGGACGGTCTCATGAGGGCCCCAAGACGGGCCAAGAGAGTTCTTAAAAGGCCTCTTGGTCGGCCCAAGTCGTTCAGCAGTGTCCCAAGTCGTCCAACATTGCCTCCCGACAGCCCTACAGGCCCCCAAGACGCCTCAAGACGCCACCCAAACGCGTCCCAAGAAGTCTTCCAAAAGCAACAACCGTCCCGTTCTTGATGGAAAACACATATTTCCAACGCGTTCGCCTCTTGGCCTTTCATGCGGCCCCTGAGACCCCTTGCACGCCCCACCATGCCACCAGGACGCGGCCGAAGAGGCCCTCCACAAGCAAACATCGGCCCTTTCCCTCAGGGAAACGTCCACGTTCAGCACGTTCGCTTCTTGGCCGTTCACGAGGCCCACAGCAACCCAAGAAGCTCCCAAACCAATTCAAGGAAACCCCATGTGCCTCCAAGAGGGCTCCCAGACGGCCCAAAAGGTCCCCAAGAGGGCCCCCGCAGCCACCGACGAAGGCTCCAGGACGGCCCCAAGGGGCTCCCCCGAGGGCTACGACTCGTGAAGAGATCGCTCCAAGACGTCCGACATTGCCTCCGGACGGCCGCGGAAGCCCCCTGCACGCCCCGACGCGCCGCCAGGACGCGCCCCAAGAGGCTCCCAGAAGCAAACCTCGGCCCGTTCCCTAAAGGAAACGCACAAGTTTTGAACTTTCGCTTCTTGGCCTGTCACGCGGCTCGCAGCAGCCCACAAAGCCCCTCAAATCAACCCAAGGAAACCCCAGATGCCTCCAAGAAGGCTCCCAGTCGGCCCAAAAGGGCCCTAAGAGGGCCCCCGAATCCACCAGGGAAGGCCCCAGGACGGCCCCACGAAAAGGGTCCGACGACTGGAGAATTCCAGCTTTTCCCGAACACCCGAGAGAGCGCCACAAGGCACCCAAGTGGCCCCTACGGGGCCCCCCGATGCCCCCAAGAGACCCCGGGGCCCGGAGGCGGCGCTTCGACTACGAAAACCACGAAAACCTGACAAGACGAAGACTCTGCAACAAAAACTTTTTCCCCACGCAGAAATCGTTCACCGTGGGCCCCCCCTGACCCTTCCCAGAATCCAGTCGCAATCGTTTTCTCAAGTGCATCCAGCCGCGGCGACAGGGGAGACACCTGGACACCCCCCAATCACAACAAACCTCCCGAGTCCGACGGGCTACTCCGCGCAAGTTCGTTCCCCGAACCTCTCCCCGGGTCCGCTGATGCAATCCCACCAGCCCTTTAGGGCGTGAGTGGTTTAGAGAGCCCCCTCTGTCCTCAACCCCCCCTCTTCCCCTTCGGGGAGGGGTTTACCCCTCCCCCTACCCCCTCCCCCTGGGCCTGGAGAGGGCGTCCCGCGGGTGGTTGGAGGGGTCTTCTTCGACTCCTGGGAGGGCCAAAAAACGACGACCCTCACGAGGATTCTGGCCCCGTCGGGGGGGCCCAGAAAAAAACCTTCTCCTCTTCTGTGAAGCCAAAATCCTTGCTTTTACGAGGGTTTTGGCCCCATTTTGGCCTCCCGAGGGGGCCGCGCTCATCTTCCTTCATAGCAAAATCATTGATTTTACGAAGGTTTTGGGCTCATTTTGTCCTTATCAGGGGGCAGCGCTTCTTTGCGCTTCTGAGGAGGTCGCAAGAGGCCCCAAGATGGCCCCAAGAGGCCCCCAGGAGCCTCCCAAGAGGCCTCCAAGAGGCCCCCAAGAGGCCCCCAAGAGGCCCCAAGAGGCCCCCAAGAGGCCCCCAAGAGGCCCCCAAGAGGCCCCCAAGAGGCCTCCAGAGGCCCCAGGAGGCCCCCAAGAGGCCCCCAAGAGGCCCCCAATGAGCCCCCCAAGAAGGCCCCAAGAGCTCCAAGAGGCCCCAAGAGGCCCCACGAGGACCCCGAAACGACTACCACGAAGTAGCCCGACGCTCACACACACCACGAGGAGCCCGAACGACTCACACCACGACGCGGGCCCCGAACGACTCACACCACGAGGAGCCCGAACGAGTCACACCAGGAGGAGGGGCCCGAACGACTCACACCAGGATGAGGGGCCCGAACAACTCACACCACGAGAAGCCCGAACGACTCACACCAGGACGAAGAGCCCGAACGACTCACACCACGAAGAGCCCGAACGACTCACACCAGGAAGAAGGGCCCGAACGACTCACACCAGGACGAGAAACCCCAAACGACTCAAATCACGAGGAGCGCTTTCTCTCCCTCCTCCTCCGCCTCGTCCTTCTCCCGCTCCCCCCACAAGGAGGATGTACAAGGAGGCGGGAGGAAGGAGGAACAGGGGAGATATGCGGGGCCAAACGGACACACGCCTGAAAAACACGACTGTCGCCATGCTTTGCATGAGTTGCTGTTGTGAGATGGGCTGGTGGGGATACGCGAAGCGTAAAGAATTTCTCGCCCCAGGTCCGTCCGGTTTTGAATGACCCGGGGCCCAGCAACGGCCCCACGGAGACCGAAACCTATCGAAACAAAAATTGCTCAGACAAAAATTTCTGGAAAAGCCGCCGGAACTGCCGCGGGCATCTACCTCGATCGAGAAGAAGATGACGAAGAAGAAGAAGAAGAGAAGGACGAGGAGGAGGAAGAGGAGGAAGAGGAAAAAGAGAAAGAAGATTTCGCCGTCGCCGCCGATGTGTCACAGATTTTCGTGGTCTTTCGACCACCCGAGGCATCTCCTCGAATTCGGCCTCCAGGAACCGTTTTCGGTGCCCGGGACCACCACCGAGGGTCCAGGATGAGGATCGACCTCCCTGGCCGGTACCACCCCTTCGCAAAGGAAGGAACACGGGGTGGATCGAGGCTCGAGCCATGAGACTCCTAGTTCTTGGGCGCTCTCCGCCCCCTCTGGGCCTTCAGGAAGCTCCTCGTCGACACAGCTGGATCTACTCTCGAACTTCTGGCCAGACGCACCCCCAGCTGGGTCTCAACGGTCCCTGAGCCTATCGAGGAGGTGGAAAAGGAGGCCTGGGACAGGCCCCATGAAGGCCCCAAGAAACCACATAAGACCACGACAAACTTCAAAACAATCCCCATACAAGGCCCCCCCTAGAACCCCACACATTACGCAAGACAGGTCGAAACCCCAAGATTGCCCAGCGATCGCGCGCGTTCCGCGAACTCCGTCTTTCATTATTGCTGCCGCACCTAGGGGACGGCGGCGCGGCGTAAGCCAACGAATCCACGTCTGGAGTTGCCGTGCTGAGCGGCAGCGTTTTCCGCGGATGCTGTAATGCAGTGGATCCAATGTGTCCAATGTTTGCATAATTCCCACATACTGTATTGTGTTACATTAGTATGTCTCCCCCCCTCCCCCCCCTGCAGTCGCGCCACATGAACGGACCAAGATGCCCCCCCCCCTCCAGGGCCATAAAAACCGACAAAAACCTTTGAACAATCAACAAGAACGACCTCTTGGGCCTCTTAGGGGCTCCAAGAGGGCCTCAAGATGGCCCAAGATGACCCCAAGACGGCCCAAGACGGCCCCAAGACGGCCCAAGATATTCCCAACGGGGGCCCATGAGGCCCCCAAGACGGCCCCAAAAGCTCCAGGGACG